CCGTATTAGTTAATAAATTTTCGTCTATTCCGCTTTGTGTTACTTGACCATTGTTTCCACTTTGCCAGTGTATATGACTTTTTTTATACTGCCCAACCTAGGAATTGAACTCATACCCTCTAGTCCGTCCTGGGTATGACGATAAACTACATCCGCGCCCTGGGCAAGACGATAAACTATGTTCAGCAGCAAGGCCTCTGAAGCTTTAGGGAGGAGGAACCACCTCTTAATTGCTGATGTCCCCAGGTCCGCCCTAACCGGTGATGGTAGCACCTGTTAGGGTCCCAGCTATGGGCAAATACTTAACACTATAGGGAAAAACACTATGAAACACTATATTACAAGCAATATCATTTTTGAAAAAAAAATATTAACAGCAATACTTTTTTGAAAAAATCATTATCAGCAATACATTTTTTAAGGAAAAATATTACCAGAAATAGATTTTGGGCAAAACAAAATATTACCAGCAATAAAAAAAATTGTCGGCATTAAATAACCCACTGGGGTTGATATACCGTAAAACAAACCAAACCAAACAATCATAACCTCTGGTGAAGCAGCTATATTTCCAAAGTAGTAGATTAATGCCTTTGGTTCAATTTGGTTCAATTACAGGGTGCGTGTGGCCAACTGCGGTAACAACAGTGATTATCATTTATTTTTGTGTCATCAATATTGTGTCTGATTTTTTTCAAATTCTTCTGGGTGGAAAGATTGGTATTTACTCCCCACAAGTAACTACATTTGGGATTTGTTTGTGTCACTCTGTAGACAATCGTTACGATGAATGAGCCCTGTCATGTTTTCGGATATCTTTCTTTATGAAACATATCCGTAATACCACGGGTTATATAAACATCGAGTAATAAAGTAATAATTCTAGCGAAATATCAGATGATCATCGTTGTGAATATGACAATGAAGATAAGGATGACAGTCCGAATAATGTAAATAATGCAAGTAATCATGATACCTCATCTCAGAGATATAGACAGAGGAATAAGCAGAGAAATATGACATAAAGGCCGGAGCGTACAACGGCCGAAACATTGTGAATATGGCAATGAAGATGAGGATAACAGTCTGAATAATGTAAATAATGCAAGTAATCATAAAACCTCATCTCAAAGATCCTATCACCTGCAGAAGGCCGGAGCGTACAACGGCCGAAACGTTGTGAATATGACAATGAATAGATGGAATAATGTAAATAATGCAAGTAATCATAAAACCTCATCTCAAAGATAACCGGTCTGAATAATGATAACAAATAATGCAAGTAATCATAAAACCTCATCTCAGAGATCCTATCACCTGCAGAAGGCTGGAGCGTACAACGGCCGAAACGCTGTGAATATGGCAATGAAGATGAGGATAAGAATCCTAATAATATAAATAATGCAATAATCATAATACCTCATCTCAGAGATATAGACAGAGGAATAGACAGAGAAATATGACATAAAGGCCGGAGCGTACAACGGCCGAAACGTTGTGAATATGGCAATAAAGATGAGGATAACAGTCCGAATAATGTAAATAATGCAAATAATCATAATACCTCATCTCAGAGATATAGACAGATATTAGTTCTCACTTATTATTGAAATAGATAAAAAGTAACCATCAGTTCTATGCTAATAATTTCTTCTCCCATACTTCACACCTGTTTAATTCTATCTAAATTCGATTTCTTGCTACTCTGCCACGTACGATCTTCAAAACTTAAATGCAACGTCAGACGTAATCTTATCAGATCATTCCATAAGTTCTGTCCGAATTTTAACTTTAATGGAGTTGAACATTATTTTTATGTTTAGATGAATTTAAACTGATCAAATTTTATTTCAGAGAACAATAAAATTAAATTTTGTTTGATTAAAACCCTGCTAACATGGAAGTACCCAAGAATCATTTGAGGTACATAATGCTTTATGAGTTCAAGAAAGGAAACTCAGCAGCCGAAGCGGCTAAAAACACTCACTCAGTTTATGGAGAGGAATGTGTGAATGAAAGAACTTGCAGAAGAGGGTTTGCAAAATTCAGAGGTGGAGATTTCACCCTTGAAGATGAAGATCGAACCGGACGTCCAGTTGAGTTTGATGAAAAGCTTCTTGAAGCAGCCCTTGAAGAAAATCCTGCTTTATCAGTTGAGGAATTGGAAGTGGTTCTCAGTTCAAACCATACAACTGTTCATCGTCATCTTCGACAACTTGGAAAAGTTCCTAAACATGGAAAATGGGTGCCTCATGAATTGACTGAAAACAACCTCAAATCCCGAGTTGACATCTGCTCTTCTCTCCATTCTCGCCAACTTGTTTCACCTTTTCTGGATAGACTTGTGACTGGCGACGAAAAATGGATCTTTTATCAAAATGTTAAGCGTCGTAGGCAGTGGCTTGGTAAAGGGGAAGGACCCCAGCCACAGCTGAGAAGGGAACTTCATGGGCAAAAGGTTCTTCTTTCAATCAGGTGGGATCGCCAAGGAATAATCCACTCCGAATTCTTACCACCTAATGCAACAATTAATGCTCAAATATACTGTCAGAAATTAGAGCGTTTGAACCAAGCTTTGAGGAAAAAAAAAGACCTGCTCTAGTGAATCGAAAAGAGGTGATGTTTCATTAGGACAATGCGCGACCCCACACAGCAAGAATCACGTCACAAAAGATCGAAGAACTTGGTTGGTAGAAAATACATCATCAACCTTATTCTCCCGATCTTGTTCCTTCAGACTACCATTTGTTTCGTAGCTTACAGAATCATTTGGAAGAAACAGCTTTTGTAACACAGGAAGAGGTTAAAACTGACATTTGTGAGTTCTTCGAATGAAAGCCAAAAGAATTTTACAGTAATGGAATTAGTAAGCTTGTTAATAGATGGAAGGAAGTCATAGATAATCAGGGAAAATACATTGTTGATTGAATCTGTAATTAAATGTAACATTTAGTCACTTGTTTTCTTTATTCAAAATTCGGACAGAACTTATGGGATGGCCTGATGTATCATCGGGAAACTCGATCTTTTATTGTTCTTTGTCTTCATCAATATTTTCACATTTTCTGACACTCTCAGTAACCCCCTTGCGTCTTAGTGGTATTATCGCCTTGTTTGTGAATGAAACGATTTAAAAAAAAATATTATCCTATATTTTGGTTAGACAAAATCTTGGCAACTGTGACTCATTTTTACTATTTATATAATTATTATTCATCTTTGTAGTTACAAACACAACATTTAGGCCGTTTTAATCTTTGACCTTCTTCCGATATTTCTTTGGAAATTTTAATCTCTGTTGTTTAATAACTTTTGTGATGTCAACGAAAGCTCCGTCGACACTTTTGTAATTTCAACGAATACTCGTTGTCACTTTCGTAATACTCGTTGCAGTAGAGACTTTGTAATCGCCGATACAACTATATTAACGCCATTGAACAATGCTGGTGTCAGACGCCTTCGAATAATCTCACATTAATAGTACTTGCTCGATAATACTCGCTCGAATAACAACCATCTAATAGATCCGAATAGAGAATAGTGTAAAGAAGAGAATAGAGAATAACGGTCCGTATAATAATAGAGGATAGACTAGAAATGCAGATCAGTTGAACGTCACACCACTCCCACATGCGTTTCCTCTATGGTCATGTGGTTTAATTATTTCAATAATGTGATCCCCTGTTTGCTCATTGTCGATCTATGTTCAAACTCAAGAGTCGGCAGCGACATTTTATTCCTATATAACAATAACCTTTAAACTGTTAGTGAATGTGATGACATAGTAATGATAAGTTTACTGCTGGATAATCCAGATAGGTTGAAACAGAATTACTAATAAATGAGCAGTATTAAAGCATAATTAACCAAAAGCAGATATCCCTAGACATGGACAAAAGGAGAACAATATACACTTGTGTATTAAATGAAGTGTTAAGTTTGAAATTCCCTGAATGCTATCCGGGAACAAAAGAATCTTAAAGAAAGCAAGAGATCGCACGGGCCGAAAAATTTTGACAGAGATGAGGTTAGTAGTCTGTCTGTAAATAACATAAACATCTTGAAATTATATTAAAGTGATTTTTCAAGCGTAGCTTAGATGTGGCACAAAGCCGAAAGTAGGGGGCACCTAGTGAGGATCGAACTCACTACTCAGTCGTAATTGTTTTAGCGAGACAAGCTTACTAACCATTACACCGTCTCGAGGTGCCGAAAAGATTTTCTAAGCGTGGCACAAGGCCGAAAGTGTGAGGTACCCAGTGAGGATCGAACTCACTACTCAGTCGTAATTGATCTTGCTAACCATTACACCACATCGAAGTGCCCAATGTCTAAGCGTAGCTCAGATGTGACACAAGGCCGAAAGTATGGAGCACCCAGTGAGGAACGAACTCTCTACTCAGTCGTAATTGCCCTAGCGAGCTAAACTTGCTAACCATTACACCACGTCGAGGTGCCCAATGAATTTATATTAAATAAGGCATTCTCAAGTATTTATTAGGGAATACAATTAAACTAGTAGTTACAATCCGAAAGAGACAGCTAATGTCTGGAAAACGTTATGATGTCCTGGTGAATGTAACACCTAGCGGACATATTGAAGTCAAATGTAAGTGGAAGTAACAAGTGTGTTCCTTATCGACTTTGTTTGAATAAGGATAAAAACGGATTATAAATACTTTAGAGAAACAAAAGATACAGGCTGAGTCATTGAAAGTTGGCCATCAGCTCAGATGGAAATAAAACAAGGTCTTGACGAAATTCAAAATAGCATCCATTTTGCCTTCAAGAAACTTATTTTACTTTATCCAACGAATTCAAAGAGATTTAGTCAGCAGGCAATGGCGACAAACCATATAATATTTTCCAGATTTCTCGGCGCCACAATGATTTGTTTGTTCTTATATACACAGCTCATGTTAATATGGTATTAATTGTTTTGTTTTTTATCAAATGAACCATTGTCAACCAATCAAAAATTAATAATGGTTGACATTTAAATGATATCTATCATCGTGCCAAGAAACGGCCACAGCTCCGATCTAACCAATCTCGCGCCAGCGTTATTTCGGTTTTCACTCCTCTTCAAATATTCATTTCTCATTCCTGTTCACCTACGACCTTTTTATATTTTTTTTTCCTTTTCTTTTTCAGTTATTTTATTTTTTTTTGTTTTAGGCTTTATTTTCATTTTTTCAATTCTTTCTTGATTTTTTAGATGTCGCATTTTATAAAAGATTCCCACAATCATTTTACGCATTCATTATGCCAACGGATAATTTCTTTTTCACTTGGTCTTCATTAATTTCATTCCCTTAGTATTTTTTTTCGATTTTCAGATATTATTTTTATGCTTGACTCTTTTTTCAGTTAACTTATATTTTGTCCTTTTTTTTTGTCTTTCTTCTGCGTTTTAGTTTCAGATTTCATCTTTTTTTCTTAATTTCTCTTCCTTTTTTCTTTAAAGTTCTTTCCTCTTTTTTTCTTCGTCTTTCTTTTGCATTTTATTTGTCGACTTCTTTTCTTTTTCTCTTAATTTCTCTTCCTCTTTACTTTTATCCTCTTTCCTCTTTTTTTCTTCGTCATTGTTTTGCATTTCCTCTTTTGACTTCTTTCTTTTTCTTTTAAATTCTCTTCATCTTTTCTTTTTTCTTCTTTTCACATGTTTTTTCGTCTTACTTTTGACTGTCTTTTTTTCGACTCTTGTCTTTTTCTCTTAATATCTCTTCCTCGTTACTTTTATCATCTTTCCTCTTCTTTCTTCGCCTTTCTTTGGCATTTCATATTTCGACTTCTTTCTTTTTCTTTTAGTTTTTCTTCCTCTGTTCTTTTATCTGCTTTCCACTCTTTTCTTTGTCTTTTTTTTTTCACTTTCTTTTTTCGACTTCTGCCATTTTTCTCTTAATATCGCTTTACCTTTTCTTTTATTCTCTTTCCACTTGTTTCTTCGACTTCTTTCTTTTTCTCTTCATATTTCTTCGTCTATTCTTTTATTATTTTTCCACTTGTTTTTGCATCTTTCTTTTGTATTTCATTTTACGACTTTCTTCTTTTATTCTTCTTGTTTTCTTTTGTCTTCTTTCCACTTGTCTCTTCGACTTTCTTTTGCATTTCATTTTTCTACTCTTTCTCTTTCTCTTAATTTCTCTTCCTGTTTTCTTCTTCCGTCTTGTTTCTTCCTCTCTTTTTTTTTGCATAGAATCCTTTGTCTTCTTTCTTTTTCTTTTAATTTCTCTTCCTCTTGTCTTTTATCTTCTCTCTACTTGTTTATTCGTCTTTCTTTTGCATTTCATTTTCGTCTTTTTCTCTTACTCTTCATTTCTCTTCTTTCTTTTCTTTTATCTTCTTTCCACTTCTTTAGTCGTCTGTTTTATTTTTAATTTTATTTTTCGACTTTTTTTTTTGTTCATCTTTCCTATGGATATTTTCATAGTAATTGCTCTGACGAAGTTTTACCTCTGTCAGTTAGACTTTATGAAATTAGTCGCAGTACTAATGGCAATGTCTTATCATTTTCAATTTAAAATAGCTTGATTAAACCGTAAGTTCTATACTTATAGTTTCTTCACTAGTATTTATCGCATATTGAACTTTTTCTGAACTCCAATCAACTTTGCTCTTCACAAATTTAAATACAATGTCAATAATTATCTTTTGTCCTCTTAATTGCCGTGCTTGGGTGAGGATTGATTTAAAACAATATCATTGTTTCGTTTCGTCTTTTTTGTCTACCGCTTTTCTTTTTCTTTTTCTTTTTTTGTTACGTTTTTCCTTTTGCATGTCGTCTTTCCTTTTTTATTTTCTCTTCCTTTTTTCTTTCTTCTTCTTCTTTTCTTCTTTCTTCTTCGCTTCTTTTCTTCTTCATTTTTCTTTTTTAGTTATTCTTCTCCCGTCTTCGTTTTTTTTTTATCTTTTTCACTTCATCAATTTTTTTTAATTTACCTTTCATTTTTCTTCTTTTTTCTTTATTTTTTCTTCGTCCACTCTTTTATTTTCACATTTCCTTTTTCTCTTTCTGCTATTCATTTCATTTTTCATCACTGACTTTCATTTTTCTGCCATTTTTTTTCTTTTTCTCCTTTTCTCTTTTGCTCTTTTTCTTTTCCCATTTTGTTTTTTTTTTATTTCTACTCAATTTCTGCTTCCTCTTTCTTCTCTTCTTTTCTTCTCTCTTCTTTTCTTCTCTCTTTTTTCTTCTGTTTCGCCCCGCCTATTCTCTTTCCTGCTATCTGTCATCAGATTTCTTTCATTCTTTGTTATTTCATAAACTCATTCTATCTTCTTCATTCATCCTCTTTTCATTCTCTTTTCTCAATACTTTACACTGACCTCTTTTCTTCCTTTGCTTATATTTTCTTTTCTTTCTCTTTCTTTCACCCTGATCTGTCTTGTTTTACTTTCATTCTTTTTCTTCTTTCTTTCATTCCATTTTGTTTATTTATCAGTAGTTTTTCAGCTATTTTTTCTCTTATCTGTAAAATTCTTTTTTGACTTTCTTTTTTCCTTTGTTTTTTCTCCTTCCTAGACCTTTTTATTTCTTTCTTTCTTTTCCTTTCTTTCTTTTATTCTTTCTTTCTTTCTTTCTCTCTCTTTCTCCCTTTCTTTCTCTCTTTCTTTCTGTCTTTCTTTCCCTATTTTTCTTTCTTTCTTTCTTTCTTTCTTTCCATTTCTCAATTTTATCACCCCTGTTTTTTTACTGTTGTCATTCTTTTGATATTCTCTCTTTTTCCTTCTTCTTTTCCCTCCATATTTTTTTTTCTTCGTATCTTCATCTTTCGTTCTGTCTTTAGAAATACATTTACACACTGTTCATTCACAGTCACCCGTTCTGTCTACCTGTCATGACAACTTTGTTCAGGATTAGATTTTATCGGTTGATAACTGCTGTCATTTTTGTTCTCGACTTGTTCCGCCTGACCGCCCGGATCCACCACAAACGCCACCTCCGGTGCCCGATGGCTATTTGCTCACTCATCCGACAGACGTTACGCTGATTTCCATATCCGGACGCTAAACACGCCGGCCTTGATGGATGTCAGCTTTATGCGCATGCTCAAGATGGCCTCCGTAATGGCCGACCTAATCAGGCTACAAAACATGAAGTCCCTCACTTCTATTGGTGTCTTTTTGTTCTCTATTCTCTCGTATGACTTTTTCCCATGCCTCCATTTCTTATTTGATGCTCTTCACCTCTTTCTCTTACAACATTTGCTTCATATTCTTCGAATTATGTTTTCCTTTACATTGCTCTTGGTCTTCTGTCTTTCCCGCCACTCGGCCTCTTGACTTTCAGTTAGCACGTCATTCTATCGGCTTTTATATTACTTAGTGGCCGCGTGTCAACCATTTCCGTTCGCTAACCTGCAGTTGAGCGCATGTTCTCCTTGTTTTTAACTGTCTCTTTCACTTTTCCGTGTGTAATTTTAAGAAGAATATATGTTATCTCATTTTTTTATTAGAGGAGGGGTATTACTTCATCGTCATATATTTCTTGTTTTGTTTCCCACCTGTCAACCAATTCCGCTGACCGCATAACAGTATTTCCAGTTCTGCAGACCTGCCGCTGACACACTTTTCTCCCGATTCAATCTTTTTTTTACTCCTTAATTCTTCTTAAATAACACTGATCGTTTTCTAACTACAACCTGAAAACTATCCAACTGTGAACAGAAAGCGCGTTAATTTTTTTTAAAATAAATCAGCTCTCAATTTTTTATTCCGCGAAATATTCTATACTAGAAATACCTCCGAAAATTACACAGTGTTTCCGTTTTAATATTATAATGAATCTTATTTCTTACTTTATTGATTGAATAAACTCATGGCCAGTTCTATGACAATAAAAGAGCTGTAAAAATTCTCCTACCGTATCATTAAATATTTGAGCATAACAACTATAAATATGAAATGGTCGCTTTAAAGAAGTAAGTGGGTACAAATGACAATATTCTAAATTAATAACCTTTGTCATTTCATTGAATAATTTATGAGGTAATGACACGAGACTTTAAACACTTCTATCGTCCTTTCCTTTGTTCTTTCTTTCTTATTCTTACTGAAACCAAACAGCGTCGTCCTGTGTATGACGATAAACTACATCCGCATCCTGGGTATGACGATAAACTTCATCCGCGTCCTGGGTATGACGATAAACTACATCCGCGCCCTATGTATGACGATAAACTTCATCCGCGTTCTGGGTATGACGATAAACTTCATCCGCGTCCTGTGTATGACGATAAATTTCATCCGTGTCCTGGGTATTTTTCGAAAAAATAATATTGCCAGCTGTACATTTCTGAAAAAATATTACCAGCTATACTTTTTTTTTTGTTTTTTTTAAGAATAGTGTTGCCGGCTATTCGTTTTTGAAATATAATATTACCACTATACGTTTTTTTGAAAAAATATTACCAGCTATACGTTTTTGAAAAATTAATATTACCAGCTATACATTTTTGAGGAAAGAAATATTAACAGAAATAGATTTCTGACAAAACAAAAATATTAGCCCCCCCCCAAAAAAAAAGTTGTCGGCATTAAATGACCCATTGAGGTGCCGTAAAACAAAACAAAACAAACCAAACCAAACCAAAAGGAAACAGTCCACTATTTATGAGGTATTGCGAAAATATATGCAACCACGTTTAATTTTCTAATTTCTTAAAATTCGCTGGTCTAAACTCCAAGACACACCGGTCATCTTAGATATTTCCACATTTTGTGGTGATCATCTTCCTGGATTTACGCGAAGAGTTTATTCCAAGATTTTTGTCATTTCGGTGTGTTGAAGATTGTCCAGACTGACATGGGTCAAAGTTTTTTTTAATTTTTGACAACTGGACAAGCTTCGTCGGGATTATTTTTAAAATATATTCTAGACACAAAAAAACACATGGATAAGCAAAAAAAAACAACAAATCTTTTGCCTTCAACCCATTCTGAAAGATTTATGAGCATTTACCTTGGATCCATTTTCAGAAAAGGCTAAATAAATTTCTTACTTTCGAGCCATTCTGATAAGAAGAGGATTTGAGTTTAATTTAATATAGGAAAGCGGCGAATATATATAACAACTTTGGACTCGAATTGCGAATAAAGAAAATAAATGTTAATGATTTTTTTTATAAAATACTCATTTTTTTATTTGTCTCGAGATACACCAGTTTAGGGAAAAAGTACTAAGATTTCATTATTTAAACATACACACAAATACGCATACACACAAATGCACATACACACAAATACACATACACAAAAACACACATACGCAAAATCCGCATACACACAAACCCACATACGCAAAATACACATACACACAAATACACACAAATACGCATACACAAAAATACACATAGACACAAACCCACATACACAAAATCTGCATACACACAAATACACATACACATAAACCCACATAACCAAAATACGCATACACACAAATCCGCATGCACACAAATACACATACACACAAACCTATATACGCAAAATCCGCATACACACAAACCCACATATACACAAATACATATACACACAAACCTACATACGCAAAATCCGCATACACACAAATCCGCATACACATAAATACACATACACCCAAATCCGTATACTCACAAATACACATACATACAAATCCACATTCACGCAAATACACAAATACACATACACACAAATCCACATACACACAAATACACATGCACACAAACACACATACACACAAATCCGCATACTCACAAATACACATACATACAAATCCACATTCACACAAATACACAAATCCACATTCACACAAATACACATACACACAAATACACATACACGCATTTCATTCTTTCGGATCTGATGAGGCCTTAAATGGCGAAATGCATTATTGGATATACTTCGAAACAAATGTACTTTCATGAAAGTTTCCACTTGTCAAAAATTTTAAAAACTGTATCGGGATTGTATATCCTATTTTTTTAAAAAAAATACTGTCTACATAGAAAACGCATGGATAAACAAAGAAAAACAAATCTTTTACCTTCAACTCATTCTAAAGGATTATATGAGGATTTCCCTTGGATTAATTTTCTGTAAAGACTAAATAAATTTCTTACTTTCGAGCCAAGGAGAAAAGATTTACGTTTAGTTCGATACAGGAAAGATGGGAGGAAAACATATAACAACTTTTGACTCGAACTGAAAGAAAAGAAAATAAACGTCAAAAAGTCACTCATTTTCGTTCTTTTAATATATTTATATATATATATATATATATATATATATATATATATATATATATATATATATATATATATATATATATATATATATATATATATATATATATATATATATATGTGTGTGTGTGTGTGTGTGTGTGTGTGTGTGTGTATATATATATATATATATATATATATATATATATATATATATTTAAGTTAAGTTATGAAGAACTTGGTAATCCGTATAGGTAATCCCAAGGAGGATGAAATCCTAAGAGCTCAATGTATATTAATTAAATAAGTATATTATTTAAATATTTATATATATTAATTAAATAAGTATATTATTTAATTAAATAAGTATATTATTAATTAGATTATATTAAATTATTATTTAAATAAGTATATTATTAATTAAATAAGTATGTTATTTAAATGTATATATATATATATATATATATATATATATATATATATATATATATATATATATATATATATATAAGAAATGGACAAAGTCTGACAATTTATTTATTAAAACATTTTTATGTTTAACGTTCTTTTTTTTTTTATAGATACAAGTATTTAAGTCAATGCTCTGTTTATAATAAACAGTACAGGCCGGTAAATGTTATTTAATACTGTTTATTATAAACAGAGCACTTACTTAAATACTTGTATCTATAACAAAGAACGTTAAACATAAAAATGTCTTTAATAAATATATATATATATGTAGGTATGTATGTATCTATGTATGTAAGTATACACCGTTGGAAATGGATTAAAACCGATAAATGTTTAATATATTTTCTCAAAATCTAAAAGCACTAATTCTATCTTTGTTTAACTGGAAGGTCTATGTGGCTGAACAGTTATAGCACTTAATGGTGGTTTCATACAGGTTCAATTCCTGTCGGAGAACGCCTACTTTCTCTAAAACTTATCGACCATTCAGGCCGGTAAAAGTAATTGAAATATATTTCTACCTCGAAAATGGCTAGATGTGTAGCCTAAAGCGCTCGGATAAAAAGAACAATCGGACAGTTTTTATATAACTTATTATCTGAAAAGAAAAACAATTATTAGATCACATGAGAAATTGTATAAAAAAAACTAAATCAAAGCACCTTGTCTGTCGTATTAATGAAATGTACATAATTGAAGGATTGCTGCCTAAATACACACACACACTCACACACACACACATATGTATACATATATGGGATAACGGTATATATTTTTATATATCACGAACCGTATGGAGTAAATTATAAGCCAAAATGGGAAAAAATTACTTATTACGAGTTTCATTCATTAAGACTTTATCGGACTAGTTTTGTTGACGTTGTAATGGCTACATATGTGCGTGGTACTATCAACCTCTCTCGTTCATGCGCATATGTAGTCATAACAACCTCAACAAATACAGTCTGATGAAGTCCTAACGGCTGAAACGCGTCACAAGTAAACTTATGTTTTAAACAATAAAAAAAGTAGAAAAATAAATTTTTCAGACACACTGCGTCGTATATTAATATTTTTCTGTTTTATTATTTCAATCAAGTTTCTGAACTAGTTTCGGCCAGCATGGCCATCATCAGGATTAACTAAATCCCTGATTGTTAGTAGCAGTGAACTACAGAAGTGAATGATTGTTTCTGAAGAATGTGAACTTGATCTGTAGTTTTCATTCGTTTTTTTTTTTTTTTTTTTTTTTTTTATCGTTAATTTTGGTCAGTCCTTGTGTTGGCCAAATGGCCTTTTTCAAGTTGTTCTTAAATTAG